CATGACTCGGTCTAAAATAGCTTTGCATGTGTTAGAATTTACTCAGCCGGTCTCTCTGGGAATTGCTATACAGTCACTCTGGAGATGGAAGCCCTTGGACGGACTTTCCCTGCCGAGGACGGACGCCGGCTGGGTCTACTGACCTTGCCAACACCGCTGGCGCCGCCCGCGCTCCCACGCCGGGGTCAGACCGGAAGTGACACGGTTCCGGCGGTGGCGCACGGCTCGGTGGCGGGCGGGGTCGCTCCTCGTTAGCTGGTGCCCGCTACGGCGCGTGCCGGGCGTGTCGAGCTGAGATCTCGGGGTTACTGGGTCAAGGCCACCACGGCTCGGCGTTCTTCGGTTCGGCGGAATTAGCGCCGTTACGCTGGGGCTGTTCAGGGCCGGCTCCTTTGGCCTGGCCGCCGAGTGTCCCACCACCGGCTATAAGCTCCGACCTGGAGCTTTAATGCAGTTCAAGGGTTTTGATAGTGCTGCTTAGACGTTGCTTATTGTTCGCTTCTCTCACTGACGGACGGTTGTCTGTTGTTCACCACATGCGAGCGCGTAGCGTTTTTTTAAGTTCTGTGATAGGCCAGTCGGCGCCGGCGAACGTATCACGCCCTTTGTCTCCGTCGCTTGGCTTCGCCTCCTTGGGAGGAGCTGACGCCCGCGCGCACTTGCGTGCATCGGGCTTGCAGCGCAAGCGTGGTGGGCGGGCCAGCCCGGCACGCCACACCACCTCCCCTGTAGTTTGTGGGTTCGAGTGTTGCGAGGTCTCTAGGTGTTGAGCCATTCTGCTCTCATGCGACGAGCCGCCGCGTGGGTGGCACTCTGCGTGACGTCCTCGAAATCACCTGGGCGACGTCAAAAGAGGCGTGGGCGACGCCGAGGTGTTTGCGCTGTGGCTGAGAGGCTGGTGGTGACCTGCACGCGTCAGCCAATGTGCACCGAAGCGCCCAAATCGAGGCAGCTGCTGGCGGGAAGGACGCCTGGGTTAGAAGGAAATTCAGTGCACGCCTCTGGTGCGGTCACCCAGCCGAAGCTAGTTATTTCAGCAGTATGCCGGATAGTGCTAGCGATGAAAAGCTTCAAGTTGATAAAGGGGAGGCAGAGACCTTTTTGCACATGACGTCCAGGTTTTCCCTGTTTTTTTTGGGGGGGGAGGGGCGAATCTTCAGCGGTTTGGGACAAATATTAAGAAGATCGAGAAAAGCACCGTGGATGGTTGTGTGGAGGGGGGAGGGGATAGTACGTACGGCAGGCACAAACACCCCCCATACAGGCCACAGCGTCCCAGCGGCGGCGCCAGCCGTGTTGTAGAGGGCTGGCGCCGAGCCTTGGCCGTCTCCGCTGCCGTCCTGGCTCGGCCGCGACCGTGAAGGCCCCGGGCACCCGCCACCCTAGCCTCTGATGTCTCAAGCGGCTGCTTCCGGCGCTGAGCGTCAGCCTTCACCTGGTTGGCCAGCGTCTGTGTCGCCGTCTCGCGACTTTAATCGCCTTTAATTGCTGACAGGACACGGCTGTGCCGTGTCGCTGTTTCGCGGTCTTCGCGGTCTTCGCGGTGTTCGTGGCCTAGCCGGCGATTCGGAGCCCGGTCCTCGCCGCGGGCTGTCATTAAGTGTTGTTGGTATGGTGCGGACCGGTTCCTTTGTCTTCACGACGCATGTTTCTCTGCGGTTTTGAGACGTCTGTTGGCCAGAATAGGTGCCACCGGTTTCCTGGGTTGGATAAACAGGACTTGTTTCCTTGGCCAGGTGATGCTTCGTTTTCCCATTCGACCGGTCAGTTTCCTCTCCGGGCTGCTACATTTCCCTCCCCAGTTACCGCTGCTAACTGTCGGCTTACCTCTTTCCCTGTGCTATGTTCTATCCCGAATTACAGCGTGCTGCATACCAAGAGCTTTGAATCAACCATCGCCTTCCTGCTCCTCAGTCACCATTTTTGGAGCAGGAACGGGACTTGTGGGGAGGCGAACGGTTAAGTTGCCCTGTTACCCGCCTGTTTCGTGTGACATGCGTTTTTCTCGTTTCCTTCGTTCACTTATGCTACTGTATGAGGCACAGGGCATCCAGGAACGGTATGCCATCCTGCTACAGGATCTGCAATGTCGCAATCAGTGCAACTGTCACCGCACCCAGCCGACAAAGCCGGCGCGCCCGCCGCCGCGCTCGCCGCGTGCCCCGTCCGGCCGGCGGCGCGCGCGGCCGGAGCCCGCGACACCCGCCGCCGGCGCCTGACCGCGTGTCCCGCCGTTGCAGACTGATGGTGACAATCAGCCGGGGTCAGCAGCCGCCGTTCAAGGGCTTCTTCGCGCAGGCGCGCCTGGTGCGCGACCCGAGCCTGCCGCCGGTGGGCCGCTTCTACACCAAGCAGCACGCGACGGTGTCGTGTGGGGCCGCGCAGGCTGTGAGTGGCGCGCCGTGACGACGGCGAAGGACGGTGGCGACCGGGCGGGGGTGTGATGCTGTCAAGGACGCCGGTGTCAGGGGGCGTGTCGGTTGTGAAAGACACGGGTGTCAGGGGGCGTAATCGGGTCGGGCGACAGCGGTGTCAGTATTAGACATCGGTTTCTGACGCTCTTTGTCGCTCACTGGACCGGCAGATGTAGGGTCAGAGAGAGTCGGAGAGAGCCGGAGAGCTGAAGAGTCTGTGGCTGGCGTGGCTGTTGACTATGACTTTGGCTATTCTGGCTGACTTTGGCAAGGTCTGTATAAGAAACAAAGCTTTGCCAGGATATTGTGCCACCTACAGGTCCGTGCCAGCATATTGTGCCACCTACAGGTCCGGGTCAGAGCGACCTGGCTAGGCGCGAACTGTCGCGTGAATGCCCCAGTACCTTTGACAAGTAAAGCCCGAGGGGCTTCTAGAACATAAAGAGTTGTCCCCCGAGCGTCAAACAGGATCCCGTGCCGAAAAGGCATTCGAAATGAAAAACATGCAGGGCGTATACAGCAATGAAAATGACACCCCATAATCGAGAGTCCCCTGTGAACCGGTTTGGACCCTCCCGAGCGAAATCCAGGCCACGCCACTGCCAGTAACAGGACTGTATAGGGGTCACGACCTGATCAGGGCTGGATTAGGAGTATTATCTCGAAGGAGTGGACCGCGGCCGAGCAGTCTGCCGGCGCCGGCCGGTGACAGCTGGTGTTGGCGGCCCGGCCGCTCGTCACGGAAGTCTCTGACTCAGCCGGGCGACCGGCGGCGCGGGCGGGGGGGAAGGGGCTGACACGCCCGTGGGCGGCCCTGTCCGGACAGCCGGTGACATTTAGAGCCGCTGCTCGGGTCGGGGAACCGCGATGCCCGTCGCGGGTGGCTCGCGGGCGCATTGAACTGGGGCTCCACGGGGTTGGACAGGGATAAGTAGTCTCGTTTCGGTACTAGTGTCATTAGCAGTCGATGCATGGTCCTGTCATAATTCAATACTGGTTCGTTAGATTTTCCATTCAAGCTGGAAATTTTTTACTGCTGGAAAGGTACAACGACTACCCTACGTTGGAGTAACATAACTGGCTACAATAATGATCTGCAGTCACTTAGAAGAACCAGTTGTATTCAATAGACGGCTTAATTAAATGTTTGTCCTCTTTCTCGGCGCCAGTATTCATGAGGACACATTTACCACCGTCATCCTCTCAGCAAAGAAGTCCATACATGTGCCTGCCAAGCTTGCTCTTCAAAGAGGCCACTGCGTGTCCCGCTGCTCTACCCCCGCTGCACTACGTCCCGCCCCCGCCAACGTCTCCTCCCTCAGGATATCACGTACCCCTCACCAACGCGTGTTTCCTCGCTCTTCAGAACAGCATCACACACGCTGACAGCAAGGAGAAGGAGGCGGTGACGTTGCTCTGGGAGTCTCCGGCCTCGCTGGACGAGGAGGTGGCCTTCCGCGTGACGGTCGTGCAGAACTACCGCACGTTCTGGGTGAACCACGACTCTGCGCGCGTGCGCGTCAGCGAGTCTGGTCAGGAGCCGCCGGCGCCGGCCGACGCCGTGACGCCGTCCGCCGCCGCGCCCTCCGCCGCCGCGCCGCCTCCCACCAAGGAGGAGCCCATCGATGATATGACGCACATGCTGGTACCGGTGAGTGAACGCCGAGGCAACGGGGGAGGGGGTGGGGGGGGGGGGGGGGAAGGGGGAGAGACTGGGGCCCGCCTGTAGCCTGCACCGGGTTGTCTCTGAGGCGTTCGAGTGAGTGGTTGCAAACTGGTCTGAGTCGAGGTTGCGTTTCACGGTTTTCGTCTGGTGGCGGGCGGGTAAAGACCATGCCTGGATTAGCGGCACGGTATCATCGCCACCATCAACTGTCCGACGTCAGCCATCCCGTGCCGTGCCGAAACACGTCCGTCCGGTGGTCAGGCTTCCCAGGGGTTCGACGCGAGGATGTAACATAGGACGACCTGGACACGGAGGCGGCGTCCAATGGGCGCCACTGGCAGATCCCCTTTGTTGCCAATTCTCTCTGTGATGTCCGCGTGCTTCGTCGCGCCTGTGTCACACTATATTTCCCGTGCGCTGTCGATATATGTTTCCTTCGAATTCGCGGTTTTGCTTGTCCTTTTCCTGGAATCGTTGGCTTGCCTCGTGGTGGGCTCCCAACGCTGTAGTCGCCAGAAGCGCCGCGCTCGCCTGTGCACTGCAGCCTGCGACACCGGGCTTCAGCTCCGGACCGCCCCGCCCCTGAGGCTTCCAGCGCACTCCGCTGGAGCGCCGTACCCTGGCCGTGTGGGGCCCGCGGCCCGGGCAACGGTGTTCTCTGCTGTGGGGGGCCCGCGGTCCGGGCGACGGTGTTCTCTGCTGTGGGGGGCCCGCGGTCCGGGTGACGGTGTTCTCTGCTGTGTGGGGCCCGCGGTCCGGGCGACGGTGTTCTCTGCTGTGTGGGGCCCGCGGTCCGGGCGACGGCGTTCTCTGCTGTGTGGGGCCCGCGGTCCGGGCGACGGCGTTCTCTGCTGTGTGGGGCCCGCGGCCCGGGTGACGGCGTTCTCTGCTGTGTGGGGCCCGCGGCCCGGGTGACGGCGTTCTCTGCTGTGTGGGGCCCGCGGCCCGGGCGACGGCGTTCTCTGCTAGCTCTGACCTCCGACCCCGCTGCGGACTCCATTCCATTGTTCTGTCACAGAGTTTTCGTTCGTGACGTGGTGCATGAATGTCGGGCTGCGGTATGGACTTGCTGCTTTTTTAGGCGGCTTTGAGTGCTTCGTGTTCATTCGTCCGTCGGAGCTTAATTTCACGCGTGTTGTGGTCAAATCTGAGCGCCGGCCTGCGCCATGATGCTGATTTAGTGCTTCAACACGACCGCCATCTTGCTTGCAGGCGCGTTGACTCAGCTAACCGCTACTTTCGCTCCGTCGCCTGATCGCTCAGCAGTTTCCCACGCACGTGCATTGTGCTGCCAAGCATCGTGGTTTTCCGCGAGTGGACGCCGTGCAGCTGAGCAATGTTCCCGTCGCCCATTGTTTGAAATGAGTGCAAGTTTCCCGACCACGCAAAAATGTGACGTCACTGTAGTCGTCACGCGTCGTTGATCAGCTGTGCAAAGCCGCATCATGCGCCGAATCATGCCTTGAGGCGTATGCGCCGCTCATTAGTAAGCTCTGTCCATGCGTACCACGCGTGCCGGCCATGCATACGCGTGCGTCTTACCGTGGCGCCGATGCCGACCGGCCGCCGGTGTACCTTCGTGCATTTTGTTGACCTGGGCTAACCGAGGTGCTGTTTCAGCGCCGCCCGAAGCCGAACCGGAGCTCACCGTCACCGCGAACCACCGAGCCCACCTGCACAGAGGTAACCACCACCCCCTTCCCCCGCCCCGCCCGAACCGCGCAGACCGCGGCAGCCAGCGCGGCGAAGCTGCTCGCAGTTGGGGCCGGTCCACAGCGCGGAGAAACTTTGTAACTGGTGTGGATTGTGCTGTGCGGTGTGGTGGTGGTGTGTGTGTGTTGTGTGTGTGTGTGTGTGTGTGTGTGTGTGTGTGTGTGTGTGTGTGTGTGGTGTGTGTGTGTGTGTGGGTGTGGTGTGTTGTGTGTGTGTGTGTGTGTGTGTGTGTGTTTGTGTGTGTGTGTGTGTGTGTGTGTGTGTGTGTGTGTGTGTGTGTGTGTGTGTGTGTGGTGTGTGTGGTGTGTGTGTGTTGTGTGTGTGTGGTGTGTGTGTGTGTGTTGTGTGTGTGTGTGTGTGGGTGTGTGTGTGTGTGTGTGTGTGTGTGTGTGTGTGTGTGTGTGTGTGTGTGTGTGTGTGTGTGTGTGTGTGTGTGTGTGTGTGGTGTGTGTGTGTGTGTGTGTGTGTGTGTGTGTGTGTGTGTGTGTGTGTGTGTGTGTGTGTGTGTGTGTTTGCACACGCCGCAATGTGCGCTGCGGTTTTCCACGCTAGAATGGGGCGATGAGGTTGGCCACGTCGTGGTACCGGCATCTCCTCCCTAACAATGCCGGTGACGGTCTGGTCTGAATGGTGTCTCATGCAGGCGCCTCGGCCGTTTCATGTGCTATCACCTTTCTTTAGCCGTGATTTGGAGCTCATGGCCACAGCTTGCAAACTATATATCATCTAATGTAAGGGGTTTTCCGTCTACGCCGCAGCCTTCCGTATCAGGGTGAAATGCAGCTTGAATCTGACACTTGGCACCTAACCAACACCCCGGTGCGCAGGGGGAAGAACAATATACACCAACGTTACGGCAGTGGTATTTCGGTATTTCCTACATCCAGATTTTAGTTAAGTCCAGTTTGATTCGATGGCGAGTCGTCTGCGGTGTGCGTTAATGAGGATCATCGAGACCGTCCATCACGAAGCGAGCGTGAGTGTGACTTTCAGCACACACTGAGTTAGTAGATAGTTTGCACAGGAGAAGAGAAGGCAGTTGACCTATCTTGCTGACTCGTGCTCATTGTACGACGTCACTTCGGTCTTGAGATTCTCAAGCTGCCGCTCTGTGCGGAAGGTCGGACATTCTCCGAGCGAGTACCCCCGCTGGAGACTAGCAAGGATTCACCCTTCTAGTCGTGACGAAGATAAACCGCAGTAAAATGTGTGTGCACAATGACACGACACTTCACCATGCAGCCAACGCGATGCTGACGCGGACAATCGCAGGGATAGCAATATTAAAACTGAGGATGATCGTCTAATCTCTTCTTTTTACCTAGCATCCGTCCCGACGTCACATTGTATTAAAAACACGTCGAGCTGAGCAGCCGACAGCAGACCGCCAGCCGTTGCACTCTGCGAGACGGGGCCCACACTCGCAGCCGGCAGTCTGTAACGCTGCTGGAATGCGGCCTCGCACGTGAGCGCCGCTCTGCGACTGCGTGGTTCGGCTCGTCCGCAGCGCAATGCAGCCCTGTGCATGTGTACGCCACATCACGCAATGGGCTGCGCTGCTGCTCACGGGCACGTCATTACCGCTGCTGACTGGCGGTACTATCTGGTGTTTTTCTTGTGGTTATGCTCTACTACGCCCGTATTCAGTTGCTTAGTTGTTCAGCGTGCATCGCATCGCGTATCGCATACTGTGTATGGTTACATCACGTTTCCTGAGCTGCACGGTGATGAGGGCTTGGATGAAGCCAACCACATCGCCGTGCGGTGCCGCGAACCGGGCCCATGCCCGCGCTGCGCCTCCACACCAGCTGATATCCGTGTATGTTGGCTCCATCGAGCTCCGCCCCACGCCGAACCTCGCCACGCTCACGCCTGTGTCGGCGGCCTCCTCAGAACTGCGAGCCGTCGACCACGACCGCCTCACTGGCCGGGGGAAACGCGCTCGAAACCGTGTACGACGCGTGCCTGCTGAGCAAGGGCTGCTTCGCCCTGTCGGACGGCTGCCTGCAGGGTCGCAACTGCGACCTCATGGTCACCCACAGCCGGCTGAGCAGCGGCGCCTACCGGTTCCAGCTGTACGGCCGCTTCCAGCCCGGCAACTACCTGGGGCTCGGCCTCTCGCGGGACAAGATCATGGTGAGCGGCGGCACGCCGACGGCACTGCGTGTGGAGCTGGAGGAGCACGCGAAAAGGGGGCGCCACCGGCGTGGAAGGACGTCTGAGTCGCGGGGAGGGGGAGGGCAGACGGGACTCCGAGAGTGTGTTAGGGCGCCGGCGTCGGAGGGAGAGGACTAGGCGGGGTGAGCTGGACAGAATGATGATAAGATCAGGGCCGGGAAGGATTTTAGAGGAGCTGGGCGGTGCCGCTGGAGGAGGTCGGGGGGGGGGGGGGGGAGGGGGCGGCGAGTGAGCAGAGCAGGCCGTGAGCGGCCACCGCCGTTGAAGGAGGCGAGGGAAGCGGGTGGGTAAAGTAGGGTGATGGGGGCTCACCACCAGCAATGAACTAATCGGAGTGAGGGAGAGGATCGCTGGTCGTGCGGCAGCAGAACTACTGTCTCATTTCTGGGCGCGTTTCGGACTGAGACATCTACAGTTACCAAGGATTAGGGCTGAACGGTATAAAGGTGGTGGTGGTGGTGGTGGTAGTGTCGGTTTCGTAATGTCAGCCCCGACCAGACGATAAACGTAAGCACGCGTTCTCAAAAGTCTGCACGGAAAAATGTCTAAAACGCACTCTCCGTTAACCAGCTCTTCAAAATCGCCCTGTTCTGCTCTGCTTTTGTATGGAGGCGACGAACATGTCCAATGCTGCCCAACGCTCTGCTTACTCTCTGGTATGACAGATGTCGCTTGTCCTTCCAGGGCAGCGACGCTGTGGTCTATTGCGCCACCCGAGATGATGGCGGTTTCCAGGTTTTACACGCGTATAACCTGGGCAAACAGGCGTTTCCAATGCAAGCGACGTCCAGGGTAAGTGAGGAGCTAGTGGAATCCACCGCATTAGGTCACCAATTACCTTAGCGCTTTATGTTGTCACTGGTGACCGAAATACGGTGACCCATGTGAGGGAAGATTCTTATGCTGATGTCACAGAGGTGATGTGTTATGCATTTGGAATTTTATATCATTTGACGGTTGCTTTTCGCTCCTGTCTTGTCCGCTCTCTTTTTGGGACTTAGATGGGTGAGACGACACTGAATCGATGCAGTTATGCTGTGCTGCTCTCTTAATCAGAGGACGGCACGTCGCTGTCCTCGCTGTCCTGTCCTCGCTCGCTGACCCTCGTCATGTCACCGTCCTCCGCCTTGTCCATCTGACGCTGGCGTCCGCCCGGCCAGGAGGGGCCTCTGGTCAGCGACTTCTCCAGCGAGTACCGGGACGGTCTCCTGCTTTGCGAGTTCACGCACTCGCCTCGGTTTACCGTCCGGGGCGAAGACTTCGACCTGGTCTCCGATGACCTGCACCTCATGATGGTCAGCGGCACGGCATCAGGTCAGGGTCGAGGGGGACGACCCCGGGTCGAGGTCGAGGGTGATGACCCCGGGTTAGGGAATTGAGCGGCTCCCAGCCAGATGCCAGGACCATGGACATTGCAGGTCAGAAGGCAGCGACGTCGCCTCATTCAGAACTGGGGCACAATATGTGATCAGTGGCTCATGTTTAATACTTAACTTGAGACTTCTGCTGCCCTTTTGGCATGTCTCCATGGCAATGTCGCTGCGCTGTCCGTACGACGCCGTCTACGTGCCGCCGTTTGCACGGCTCTGTGACGCCCTCGCGGCCGGCGCGCCGCCGGTCGTCTCGCCTTCGCCTCACGCGGGCGCCCTCCGCCCACAGCGGACTCGGAGCGGCGGCCGCAGTACCACCGCGACTCGCGCCGCGTCAGCGCCGCGCCCGTCCGCCTGGCCTCGGCCGGCGCCGCGGCCGGCGACTCGGGCCTGCTGTTCCGCGTGCATGGCGCCCTCATGGTCATCGCCTGGCTGGGCACGGCCAGCGTCGGCATGCTGCTGGCGCGCTACTACAAGCAGACGTGGGTGGGCCGGAAGCTGGCCGGGCTGGACCTCTGGTTCCAGGGTCATCGGACGCTGATGGTCATCACCGTGCTGCTCTCGCTGGCCGGCCTCGTGTGCGTGTTCATACAGGTCGGCGGCTGGACCGCCACGCCCATGTTCGGCGCCGAGGGGGCCAACCCGCACCCGCTGCTCGGTATCATCTGTGTCGGTGAGTCCGGAGGCGAGCGGCGCGCGAGGGAGTGGGCGCTGCGGCGGCCGGTCTGGCTGTGTCGTCCAGGCGGCGGCGACGGCGAGATTCGTGTGGGAGGATAGGGGTGCACAGCGGGAGAAGCGTGACGCGCTATGGACATTCACCGACTGCTTGCTGTAAAACAAGCGCTGTTGAAGCAAGCGCAGAAGAACGTCATTGCCATCAACAAGTGTTATTTGACATCAACAAGCGTCATTTGCCGTCACACACGTCGTTAATGAGAGAAATGAAGGGCCAAGTGTTATGTCAGTCGAACGCTCTTCCTTGCACATTGATCGGCGTCTGGTCTATGCGGGACCTTGACCTCCACGTGCGGCCCGGCAGCGCTGGCCGTCCTGCAGCCGCTGATGGCCCTCTGCCGCTGCCACCCGACGGCCTCGCGCCGGCCCATCTTCAACTGGCTGCACTGGATGGTCGGCTCGGCCGCGCACAACCTCGGCATCGTCACCATCTTCTTCGCTGTGAAGTTGCCGGCCGCCCAGCTGCCCTTCTGGACCTACTGGGTGCTGGTCATCTTCGTCGTGCTCCACGTCCTGACGCACTTGGCGATGTCGGTACGTGATCAGGCCCAGCTCGAGCTGCTTGCGATGTGACACGGTTGGGAGATTGTTAGATTGTTCGGGCTAAGTGGATGTTGATGTGGTGCCGCCTTGAATGCAACAGACAGCTGGGTAACCAGACGTTAGGGTCTTGGATGGCAGCCTGAGCACACTAGTATGCAGGAGACCGCAGAGAGAGACCGCGCGGCTGGAGCTGACGCCGGGCTGCCGTTCCCAGGCGCAGCACTGCGTCGCCGACCGGGCGGCACGTGGCCACAAGACCACCTCGGAAGCCTACCGCATGCGAGACATGGCGACGAACGGCTACAGCGGCCAGCAGGCCGCCGCCCAGGACGACGCGCCGGTGAGGGACCGCGGCAGTCGCGGTCACGTGACCCACTCCAGGGCGCAGCGGCTCCAGCTGTCGCCCCGAAGCCGCCCACGTGACCGGGCTGAACGAGCGGCCACTCTGTGTCCGCTCGGCGCCAGTTTCGTGACCGCCCGTGGGCAGCTTTTGGTGGCGGTGACGTGGTTCCGTGACTACGGCTGGGGTGGTGAGGTACTGCTGGAGTCGCTGTGACCGTGAATGAGCCGGCGCCGAAGTATCAAGCGTGGCATATGTCAGATGCGACGCCGTCACCGCGTGACCTTGCCGTGCTATCTTGACGTCCACACTTGCCGTCACACCTGTACGGACCGATCTCTCACTGTACGGCAGGCTCATTCAGCTCACCTGTGGCGCCGATTACACGGATAGCTCACACCGCGACGGGCGTTACTCTCGGTGACGTCAGACTCATTCAGCGGTCGCCCCCGACGTCTGATGATCAACCTCCCTACCGCAGGGCGGTGGGTTCCGGCGCGCTCTGCTCGGGCTCTACATCTTCGAGAACCTGGTGCTGGTGACGCTGCTGGTCGTGATGATAGTGCTGGCGCCGGCCGACTCCTGGGGGAGCTCGTAGGTCCGCACCGGGGGGCGGTTCTAAGGCCGCCACTGGCGCCGGCCGACTCCTGGGGGAGCTCGTAGGTCCGCACCGGTAGGCGGTTCTAGGGCCGCTGCTGGCGCGAGCCGGCTTCTGGGGGAGCTCGTAGGCCCGCACCGGTAGGCGGTCCTAGGGCCGCTGCTGGGGCGGCAGACTACTCGAGACGCCGCTGAGAGTAGTGCGCCGCGGTTGCAGTACAGGAGTCGCCATCGCCGCCACCGGCCGGTGCGCTGTGGGACCACGTGGGTAACCGCCGTCAGCGCCTGGCCCCAGACGGACCGTCTCCGCCGCCAGCGCCAGAGGGCAGCGCTGCGGAGTCTGTCCCGTGCTGTCGTTGGGCGATTGGTGGAGACTGCAACGCGTTCCAGCCCGACTGACGTGATCAGAGAGCCCGCTAGTGGCGGCGGCAGTGCGCCGCTCAGAGCGCGCGCTCCCAATCGCGTGAGCTCGCCGGCCACAAGAGCCAAGCGTCTTTCGTTGAGCAGTGACGCATCAAGGGTACTTATTCGGCGTCGCCAATGTTCTCTCTCTCTGTGTTCGTGTTGCGGCAACGGCGCGGCCTGACCCGGTCGAGCCAGCAGCGGCTGCTTGTGGATGTTTGCGAGTGTTGTGCTCTTTTAAGGGGCATGCGTGCAGAGGCCTGATTCGCGTGAGAGTGGAGTGACCCGAGTTTTTGCTGGGGTTTTATGCGGTCCTCGGGGACCTGTGTTTACTGTTGCTGAGTGCCCGACTGTTACCGAGTGTAGCCTGGCAGAGGCATTTGGGTCCACGCACGGCAGAATACAACCAAGTGAGCTTTGTGGCGCGTTTTTATTGGTGCCTATAGTAAAGTGGTTAACACGTCTAGGTTGACCATTGCGCGCCTGGGAAACCATAGGTACGGCGCTCAATTCCCCGCGGAGCCCACCCTCCCACATAGCCTCAGCAGCCGAGTGCGTCGCGAAGCCCCAATCATGTGGTGATTTGGTGTTTTAAGGGCGCGTAGGCATCTGGCTCGTTTTGCGCCCGCTCGATGAAGACTATCTACATATGTTATGCGACACTATAAGTATGCTGTCGCCCGGTAACAAGCGGTATCACCTATGCGCTTGCACAGAGGAGTGGGTAAAAATAATGTCGAAGTCTGTGTGCCAAAAATGAGAGTATATCAACGATTTCACAGCATGGGTCTCGACCGACTAGCTGATGGAGGAGTGCTGGTGGAAAGTACCGTCACCTATCCACTTCAAAGCGCCTGCATGAGACCAGGACACGTTCCACAGACAACCGGTCTCCGCATCTATCACACCGTGGCGCATCTTGGCGTTTTAAATAGAACGAGTGCGTTACATTGGTATGACCCAATCGAAGCCTGCTAAGAGCGACTTCCTGAAGGCGGCTTCTGTGGTGAAAAGGTTCCCAATCACCAAGCTGGGGCTTAATTCCCCTGCAAGCGTCGTCATGTTGGTCAAACACGTTCTGCCACGTGCCGCCGACATACGTGGATATCACCAACTTCAGATCTCGAGCGGGTACATGCACTGGTAGTGGCTTCCCCTCACACACCGCAGCTTTTGCTGCTGCGTCCGCTTTCATGTTTCCCGACATCCCCACGTGACCAGGGATCCACATAAATATCGTACGGCTGGCAGTGTTGCCCAGTCATTCGAGTTAGGCCCAGATTGATCTCGTCAGAAAGGAGTGGTCGCGCGACATCGACGTTGGATCTAATGATAAAAGTGCGCTTAGTCAGTCGGTCAAAATGGCTGCTTTCCTTCCTGGGCGACAAGAAGCATGCTGAAGAGTTACTAAAATGGCAAACAGTTATGAGGAAAAAACTGACATGCGATGCGAGAGGCAGAGACCTTTTGTGTGATTACCGCAAACGAATACGCGACTTATTTCAACCGAGCCCTTGCACCCATCAGTAAATATTTGTAGTGAATTGCATTGTGAGATACGTTCCAACGAAAACCTTAGGAACTCCCGCAGGACAGTGTCGGTTTTATGATGCTGACAAGGCTCCAAACATAATTTGGACTCGGGCGTCGCCATGGAGCTAGATCCCAAAGCGTGTGCGGGGCAATAGCGTCCAGCGTAACATCTGCATCATTTAGCCAGTTCCGGACGCGTAAACACGTCAGTCACGCTGACGCAGGCCAGCTCCTCAAGAAAGAACGAATTTATGTCCGAGAGAGGATGGTCTCGAAGGCTAGGTGATCCAGAAAATATGAAACCTTTGTGGCGTAATTCAAAATAAGCAATCGTCTGCTAAGAAGCAAATCCGATTCATTAGCCTCTACCAGCAGGTTTCTTGTTCGTGTCGTACGAAAAGCTCCGGTGGCTATACGAACGCATGCATTACGTATTGTGTCCAAAACCTGCTTCGAAGATATAAGAGCGCTCTCGCAGAAAGGGCTAACGTAGTCGATGGCCAATCGAATCAACGCTCTATGCATGTTGAACAGGGTTCACCTTTCGGCGCCAAAAGTCATACGGCACATCACTTTCATGAGGTTCATACACCGAAGACACTTGACCTTTATCGTCTTCAGGTGTTGCTTAAATGTGAGCCAACAGTAAAAAAGAAGCCCAGAAAACAGGCCTCATTACATACTCGAAGAATGACATTAGCTGGTTGCAACGCTGGGTCTCTACAATCTCGATTCCGTGAGCAGAAATGCCTGCACATGGTTTTGGTGGTCTGTAAGTTGAAACCATTCTTTAGACTCCACTTAGCTAGCCTAATGAGACATAACAGAAGCTGCCTTTCTGCGGTGTCGATGCCGTAACCAGATGGCAACGTCGTCCACAAACAGCGACCGACTTATAGCGGGTGGCAGACAGTCGGTGATATCATAAATCATCAGTGCGAACAGGATAACTTTAAGGATGCTTCCCTGGGAAACACCATTCTCTTGTTCGTAGCGGTCTGATAGCATGCTACCCACTCGAACGCGGAAACATCGGTGACGTAAAAAGTTCTTCATAAAGATTGCCATATGACCTCCAAGTCCACACTTGTGCACTTTATCATGAATGCCATGGCGCCAGGTGGTATCATAAGACTGCTCAATGTCAGAAAAGATAACTATCGTGCGACGTCTCTGTTCATAAGTACGCGTACAGCTGTAGCCAAGACCGTTCAGTGGTTAACATTCGAAACCTGCATTGCACCTTGGACAGACAGCCGTGAATACGATAGCAAGATACCACATGACGCGGTCATTCACCATCCAGTCCAAGACTTGGCATACCCAGGGTTGAAGTCAACGAAATTGGACGGTAATGCGCTGGGTCGGAGACATCCTTCCCAAGCTTCTGTATCGGGACTATGATGGGCTGATCCGACTCTGGGAAGTCATCATGCAACCATGCGTAGTGAGGCCCCAATGACGACAGCGATCGGCTCAGTTGTCAGCGCGACGAATATACTGAGGGTCTTTCGGCCACTGGGTTCTGAAGTACGTGCACTGTGTCAATGATCCTTGCAGACGTGTGGACACACACTGCTTTCCGAACTGCCACACCGACGACCGCAAGCACACCGGGTCCAAAACGTTTATTTACAACAATAAAACATGACGGTAAACCTATCCTCCAAGCCACACAGAGCTCCTTCAGCTGGGTGTCATCGCAGGGCGCACAGACGGCCCGCTCTGCCCACATACAGCACGGGATGTCCATCGCTCCGGGGCGCGGCACACACGGCGAGCCGGGCTGGCTGGCGCCGCTCCCTGCACCGGAGCGCGCGACAACGGCGCCCGAGTCAGGGCAGCAGTGCGGACAGTGCGTCCGTACAGATGTGCCGCTCGCGGAGGGCAGGACGGCGGAGCGGCCGGCAGTCGCCCGGGCACATGGAACGCGCCTGCTACACTAGCGACTGGTCGCACTCGCGTGAGCACGTGAGTCGCACCGGCCCGCCACCAGCCGATCCCACGGGCCACCGCGTCGGTTAGCCGCCAGGCGGCGCCAGTGGCGGGCGGGCGATGGTCAGGAGACGGCGCCCTCGGCCGGTGACGCAGACGGTGGCGGCGGCGGAGGGCATGGGCGGTCCGGCCGGCGGCGATGGCGGCAGCGGCGGCGGCAGCACCGCCCGCCGGCCCGGCCGCATCACAACCGAAGCCAGGTGGTCGGTTCAGCCTGCCGCCAGAGGTCACGCTGAGGTCACTCCCCGGAACATGGTCCCACCGTGGGGTCCAGTCCACCCCATACGCCAGTCGACCAGGCCGGCGAGCATAGCCGAGCATGACAATAAGACGCTTTCGGGTACGTCGACCACAAATCGTCTTGTCACAGAGCGGTTTCCCCCACAGCAACACCCAATATATTGTGACGTGCGTACGGCCAGTCATGCAGCAGCGAGGCACATTGTCCCACGAAACGAGTGCGCTACAACACAGACACCGCGACGCGGCCAGCACATTCCACTCTCTAGTCCCAGCAGAGGCGACATGTAGCGGCCTCCTGCTGCCGCCTCCCGTAGCTCCACTGACCCCACATAACTGCTGACTCGCGCCGCTTACCCCCGGTGACACTTTGTGGGTGACCCTGCCCACTGACCCTGCGTGGCGGGCGGCTGCTCCTGCGCCCGGGCCTTCTTGGCCGCGGCCTCCGGGTCCTGCTCGTCGTCGGCGTCGGCCGCCTGCAGGCTGCTCAGTCGACAGTCCAGCGCGTTGAAGAGCAGCTCGGCGTCCTTGGTGCTGCTCTGTCGGGGCGGAGGCGGGCGCCGGTCACACTGGGCCGCACGCTCGGGGCCAGGCACCTTCGGCCGGGCCACGCAGTGGCGGACAAACGCAGCGGCCGGGCCACCTGACGGTGCCAACGGCTCGCTCGGCGGCGCACCTCCGCAAAATATACTGGAGGGGGAACAGCAATAAATGACGAAACCTACCCTCTCAAATTACACCAACAATCCAGTTTCTCTTTGCATTTGGCCCACCTTCATCTTGAAATGTGTGGTGTGGGGGGGGGGGGGGGGAGGGGGGAGGTAGCTGGAGCCCCCAACTGAAAAGGAAACTACACCCCTGGGGTCACTCTGAACCATGCCAGCCCACCACACCTCATGAGGAACGGGGACGTGGCTGCCAAAGGCACGCAAACCTCCACGTGCAACGTGTAAGAATAAAAGTAACGAAGTGCAAACAACAATATCACGCATCGATGTGATTTTTCGCATCACTAAACCCAGATGCCGGCGTATGGATTGTGACTCACAATCCATACACCTGCATCTGGTGATGATAATTGGGGCTTCGGGGCGCACCGAACACTCGCATCTGGTCGCCTTCGTCACAGGCGTTACAGTTTACCTCACGCAGCTTGGATGACATACCACATCGTAACGCGATCACTGGCACATTTAAACTTCACTCTGCCGCAGGATACCCCAGTTCGCCGACATCGGCGCACCACTGCAAGGATTCCAGTGACAAATGCCTGTATTTCCAGCAAGCGCTGGCACCATGGTGCCGCAAGGTGCCCGGGTCCGTCCCCGGCTAGCTTACCTTGATGAGGAACACCTTGACCTGCTCGTTATCCATGGCAGTAACGCGGACGTCCTTCTCACTGGGCTTCTCCACGCTCATGCCAGGCCAAATCTGGTGGGGGGCCATCCAATCAGACCAATCAGAGCGGCCCCGCCGGAGCGACGGCCAATCGAGAGCATACACAGAGCAGAGAAGCGACCAATCAGCAGGGCCACGACAGCACGACTCATCAAAATCAGCACAACAGACCAATCAGGAAGACCACAACAGAACAGCGACCAATAGCAGGACGGATCAGCGGCTGGAACACGCTCACTGGTCTTCGCCGGGTACCGCCCACGGCCGGCACCCCACAGCAAACACCACGGACGCCACCCCACAGCAAACACCACGGACGCCACCCCACAGACAATATGGGTACGCTCGCAGCAGACCGAGACGCGGTGTGATCTACAGCGGATGGAGCAGCCTCTGGTGGAACAGGCAGGAATCGAGACTCGGGTGGAACCATCAGGTCGGGGGTGGGCGGCCTGTGCGCCACCGCACGTTAGAGTGAAGCCAGTAAGAGCTGGTCACATCGCAGAAACGAGACAACATATGGTGACAGCTCGCCACCATACAGACCTCTGAGTACCTTCGGACGGTCAGAGAAGGTAGCAGACACTTCAGGCAACCCGAATCACGTCCAGTTACATGCTAAGCTCTCCCGCCACTAGTCCTGATCACTACAGCCCCACACACCATCCAGCACATGTCACACAGTCACCACAGCCGCCAATCTGTCCACACTTCTCTACCTGGCAAAGGCGAAACCACACTCGTCCCGCTGCGAGTGTGCGACATACGTAGGTGCATGGGGATTGTTTGGCCGGACACTGCCGCGCTCACAGAACACCAGTCTCCCAAGACACAGCCCCAGTGATGAGCACCAGACGCAGCCAGCCCTGGGTATGAAACACCCGCCTGCCCTGGGTACGGAACACCAGGCAGCCCTGGGTACGGAACACCAGCCAGCCCTGGGTACAGAACACCCGCCTGCTCTGGGTGCGGAACATCCGCCTGTCCTGGGTACAGAACACCAGCCTGCTCCGCACCCCACGCACCTTGGTGTTGAGCACCAGACACAGGCTACCCCGGGTACGGAGCACCAGTCTGCCCCGCGCCCCACGCACCTTGGTATTGAGCACCAGACGCAGGCTGCCCTGGGTACGGAACACCAGCCGGGACTGGAGCGGCCCCTCCTCCTGGCGGCGATCGTTGAGCCGCAGCAGGCCGCGGCCGCGCTCCAGCCACGAACAGTTGTCCTTGTTGAACGCGTACAGCTTACAGTTGATCTGCGGCGACGGCCGGCGGCGGGGAGGCGTCAGAGTCGAGCAGTGGAGGGCATGGGGCGGCGGCAGCACAGAACCGCCCGCCGTCCGGCCGACCACCGGCCGCGTGCACCGCGGCTGCTCCAGGGGGAACAGCTCGTATTCATGCAGCCACCGAGCTGTTCAATCCACGGCAAAGACCTAACACACAACCACTTTGTCGTCGCGACAGCCGCTCCTGTGTGCGCCAGTAACATCGAATCCATCCCGTCCATCAAGTACACTCCTGACGTTCGAATCACAGCACACTGCCTAACACATGCCCACGCTAGCACGTCCCGTCGACCCAGCTTCCGCGTGCGCCGCCCGGTCGCCCACCTCCACCCGGCGCCGGTCGGCGTCACCACCCCTCAGCCTTACCTGCAGCACGTTGCTCTCGTCCTCCTCGCCGGTGACCACCTCCACCTCCTCGTACTTGCGCTTGGAGGTGCGCTGCTTCTCGTAGACGGCGGCCGATTCGCGCAGGCTGAGGCCGGCGGCCGGCGCCGCCTGCGCGCCGGCCGGCTCGCTGTCGCCGCCGTCCGGCGCCGGCTCGTCCAGCGTTGACGAGACGGCGCCGCCGTCGGGCGCTGCCATCGTCACGCGCTCCTCCAGGTTCTGGCCGAACACGAACGACGCCGACGAGGACGAGATCGACGGCGACTCCGTCTCCTCCGGTCTGCGCGCAGGGCGGCAGTCAGAGGCGGCAGTCGGAGGCGGCGGTCACAGGCGGCGGTCAGAGGTGGCGGTCAGAGGCGGCGGTCAGAGGTGGCGGTCAGAGGCGGCGGTCAGAGGTGGCGGTCAGAGGCGGCGGTCAGAGGTGGCGGTCAGAGGCGGCGGTCAGAGGTGACGGTCACAGGCGGCGGTCAGAGGTGACGGTCAAAGGCAGCGGTCGGAGGCGGCGGTAAGAGGCGGCGGTCAGAGACGGCGTCAGAGGCGGCGGTCACAGGCAGCGGTCAGAGGCGGCGGTCACAGGCGGCGGTCACAGGGGATGGAGGAGGCGCAGAGCGGCTGTCAACCGCCAAGCGTGTTCGTCAGGTTCGTCGCGACAGCGCACATGGTCCACGAGACGCGGACGCTCGTGGTCATTGGGATTCAGAACGGCAACTTTCGCAAAAGCCGCTCCTGCACGGCAAAGAGGAAGCACCGCGACTCACCAGGCCCACAGCACCAGCCGTTCGCCAAGGTGAAGCCCTGAAACGCCACCACTCACGGACCCCCCAGCGACGCCCTCCCCCCCCCCCCCCCGCTCTCCGCTGTCCACCAGAATGGCACGACTCACTTCCGGTCGTTGCCCGGCTGGAAGGTGAAGCCGTTGCTGCCGCTGGTGCTCGTCACCGTCTCGTGCGCGGCGGCGGTGGCGGCGGCCGACCGGCCAGACTCGGCCGGCGGGCCCGCGCGGCGGCCGCCGGCCGTCTCCGTGGAGGCGCACTCGGGCGCCGCGCCGCCGCCGTCCGAGTCATCCTCGGGCGCCGCTGGCGAGCACACACAGGCACCGTCAGCAGCACTGGCCTAGTCACGAGCGGGGCAGCTCGTGCGGCGGCGGCGCACCCAGTCCAGTCACTGGTCAGGTATACCGGGGAAACCAGCCTAGCTGGGGGCGAGGGTGGCAGACACCTTGCTGGCCAACTAACACCAACCAAATCCGGATTCGGCGACATGACACATAGTCGAGCTGACACCGCTGTGCGTTGACACTCCGCGCCACCCACTGCAGCTGCCGCCACAGACCTCCTCCCGACCCCACCTCGGCCCGCCCCGCCCCGTCCCGCACGTACGCTTGGCCGCGAACGGGTTGTTGAACTTGGGCGGGTGCAGTGTGAAGGTGCTGCTGGCCAGGCCGTTGGTCTCGGGCGTCTTCAGGCTGGCGGCGGGCACGCTGAGCGCCGACGGCCGCAGCACGGAGCGGCTGGAGGAGACGGCGCTGGCGCCGCCGCCCAGCCGGCTCGGCGCCAACACCGTGCGCTGCTCCGAGCTGTCGGCCGAGCTGCGCACCACCGGCGGCGCCACGCGCGCGAACGGGTTGCCCAGCCGCGACGGCGCCAGCACGCCCGGACCGCCTGAGCCGCAGCAAAGCCAGGTGGTCAGCGGTGGAGGCGGCCGTGTGGAGGCGGGGGCGCACCGATGGCCACCCCGAGGGGGTCATGGAAGCCTTTGGGAGGCGCGGTTCAAACGCCGTTCGGGACAGTGATAGTGAAGAGTCAATAATGACAGGTTACCAGAGACACGTCGCAAATTCCAAATTCAACATCAAGATCGGGCAGCCAGATGAAAAACTAAACCATGACACTTCCGACAGCGTGTCGGTTGACGAGTCGCCGGCCACGGGCTCTCTGACGGGGCCTGAGAGCATGCGCCGCGCCGGCCGCACTCACTGTTCGCCTGCTGCACGTAGGGCCGCGGCCGCGCGGACGGCTGCGGCATGGCGGCCGCCTCGTTGCGCGCAGCTACGTGCCGGGAGTCCGAGTCCGACACCTCGCTGTCTTTGTCTGAAACAGCGCACGCGACGGGCGTGAGCAGCGGCGTCCCGCGCCCGCTTCTCAAAGAACCGAAGCTGTACAGACGCGCCGGCGGCCGGAGCTTCGCCGACAGGCCGCAACGACGAGCGCCCGACCGGTGCCCAGGCGAAGGCAATCAGCTGATTGCAGCTCCTCTGACAGAGACTACGGGGTGCGGCAGATCTCACGAGCGGCAGCGCTCCGGCGTCCGGAGCGGACGGGAGGCAGGCCGGAGCAGAGCAGCGAGCGTCACCACGGCGATCGCGTGCCGTACCTGTGGTGCTGTGGTTGCTGCAGTCGCTGCTCTCCGGGGGGTCGGTGAACCGGTCCATCGACTCCTGGCGGCCGCCGACGACGGTTAGCGGCGCGTACGGCCGGCGGCGAGCGGCGCATGGCACGCGACGGCCGACACGGGATGGCAGGGCCAGTCCAGTGATACTCGTTGGGCAGTTGCCTGCTGACCTTTCTATTTCGGTCGGGTTTAATAGCATACTCACTCTGAGACTTGTGCCCGTCATCGCTAGATTACGAGTCCAGCATCTTTCCCCTTGACCACAGAGACGACACAAGTATGCTTTCAAAGGGCACTGATGAGTCTTAGCGTGACATTCATCTGGGTGAGATCGCCATCCATTATATTGCTGCTCTCAACAAAACAGACCGATGCGCAACGAATGACGTGCAATAGGGTATGTGCACAAACAAATGTGCCCTAGCACACTGTACTGAGGATGGATGAAAAAGATGAAATTTGAAGTTGAAATGACAGCAAAGATAAAATTTGAAGGGGTCACTTGCCTTGTCGGACCCAGCGGAATGCGCCTTGGGGTTATCATTGGAATCTGAAACAAACAGCAACAAACACAATGAATATGAATGCTCGATTCAACACTTGCTAACATTGCACAGCTAGACCTTGCCACTGTCTTTGGAGATTTGGGAATGGTGTTACTGGAGTGCATGAAAAGTCAAGATCAAAACCAAAAGGTGTAACAAATGATCCACTGATTATTGGTGATACCAACTGTCTCCAAAAAGTTTTCCAATAGTAAGCAGAGCAAAAACAGGAACTAAGAAATGTGATGTAAAACTTTCAGCATCAGTCAACAACATCAAATGAAGAGACAACAAAATGTCTATGTAAATAGGATAAGAAACATAAGCTTAGCCTTATGAAATAAAAATGACCCACCCTTCCCCTCTCACATCATTTGAACTATCACACACTTAACCACACAAGCATGCAGAAACGGAAACGTTCCATTTTATAAGTAAACAACACTTGCATATTAGGTTAGCCTGCAAGCCTGTGTGTTCCGCTTGTCAACCATATCTTGAAACATTGTTTCCGAAAAGAGTATGACCGAGCCTTAATAAAAAACGCACCACTTCTGCAATTACTTATGTCCACACACACTCACACAAAGTTTCAGATGTTTTGCACACAACTTGCAACTGTTCTCTTTCCAATTAGAACATGTCATATCTATACTGTGGGCATGGGTAGGCAAAACTAGTCAGGATTCAACACTTGTTGAAGTTCATCTGTTAATTATGAAAATTACATAAAATACAGGTTTCCATTAACTCACTAAATATACAACTGAAGTTTATTTGTTACTCTGGGAGATGTTGAGATTATTTTACCATTCCTTACATTAACACTAAAACTTCCTCAAAAGACAGGAATAGCTTAATGACATCATTTTCTATGCACACACTGTGTTGCAATTTGTATGCAGGACCATATGTGTGTATGCAATTTACAAGTTTCCTGAGCTTCATCATGGATTGCAGCAGCTTTAAATGATTGCTAGCACTGAATGTTTCTGCTCTTTGTTGGGGTAATATGATGGCCTTAGATGAGGATAGAACCCAGTCTCTCCAAGCAAGTGATGTTCCCTGTTTGCAAACCATGCTTTGCCTTTTTCACATCAAGTGCAGGCATTATCATGTAAGGATCACATGTCTCTAATCTCGCAAAGGCCAGATGTTTTAAGTTCATATCACAACAGATGATTGGCAACTTAAATTTTCCTTTGTAAGTCATGCAGAATGGAAAAAGTATGATGAGCCAGTAAACTGCATTATTTTAAAGATGTGTCAGAAAAACTTTGCAGATGTTAATGTGGGCAATGCCAAAACACTTAACATGTAAGACTTGGGTACTGAAAAATGTTGACCTAATGAGTAACATTGAGGCTTTTTTATTATTCTGGATCCACACAATGTTTATGACTATTTACAGTCATCCATTTTTCAAGGTCACATGTATGCCTACCATCTCCAATGTCTGAATGCACAAGTGATCCCTCTGTTAAGTTTAACATAAACCTGTGTCACTGCAGGAAAAAAATCTGAAGTTCCATAGACACATCCAGATAGCAGCTCACAAGGCAGGTCAGCAGACTAAGAGCTTCCCCAAGGCCACCATTTGTTGGAGACCTGAACCAGCTCTGCTCTTTATGACAACACTCATTTGCCATTTAACTAAATGGTGCTCAGGCATTTGGAACTGATTATCTGCAAGATTTCTGTGAAACCTTAAAACTGTACAAGGCAGATTGCTGTGTGCAGACCCATTTCATTGCTAGAAAATGTTTAATGGGAGACACTGTACTTTCCTGAATGGCCTGTTTGATGCTCATTTCAAGCGTGCTCATCTGTTTGAAACTTGCCGCCTGCAGTAGGTAAGTGGGCTCCTAGTGCATCAAACTTCAAGAGTTTGCTATATACATGAAAACATGTCAGACTTCATGCACTTGTACAGGCATATGGTCAGATACAAGCTCTATACAATAATGCTGGAGCTTTGTTAGCAGTGATGTTAAAATCTCTGCTATGTTATTGCATCATAGCTTGTCTGACATGATGCTGGAGCTTTGTTAGCATGATGTTAAAAGCTCCACTATGTTATTGCATCATGGCTTGCCTCACATGACTATCATATTGAAGGGTGTGCCATTCAGCCTTCAGAGCATGTCAGTGCTTTGTGAATACAGTAACGCATTTCAAACTGAATGCTCCCAAACAGGCAACACTGCATATTGCAGGGCTGAACATGGACTGAGAAGACTTCAATGGGATGGTTCCATTTAACCATGCCACATGAGAACACAGAGTGGTGGCACCAAGAAAACACTCAAGCAGATTAAAGGTAAAAATTACAAGTGTTTCTAAGATTCCCAAACCTTAAGAAACATGCTGTGATATTATAAAATGTTTACCCTTTCTTTTCACACAAATGAAGAGTGTGGCTGGCACATTAGACAATGCATCCAATCTTTGCTTGAGATGGCACTTTGTTCCTTGCAGACTACTGACCAGAAGCCATTTGCTGTGTGGCCCATCTACTGATAGCTACTTAATATGCATCATGACACTTAATGACATTTCATTTCTATGCCTGGCATTTTTGTGTGAATAAAAGTTGATGGACATTATGCTCATGTACCACTGTGTGTGTGATGAAATTGCACATAGGAATGCATGTGTGATGCATGTGCAGGGTTGAATTGTTAAGCAATGCTCTGTGAAATCCTATTGGTTTGAGGGAGTTCCATCTGTAGTAAGTTGATGTTCACAGCATCAGGGCCAGTTCTTGATGCACAAGACATTGTTGCCAACATATCATGTTTGCACATATGGTTATGCATCTGTCTCCCTGGATTGCCATCTTAGTGTTATGCATTGCTCCTGCTGACTTTGGATTCAACAATTACCATTCTCAGATCTAAAAAATAATAAACCATGCTACATATGCCCACATTCCCCAAAGCTCCATTCTCCAAACCATGACATACTTTGATGGGATCCCATTGGGGCGAAGTAGGGCTGCTCTTCTGAATTGGGACATGTTACAAAATTGCTAATGCAGAAATAACT